GAATGCTAACATTATTAGTTTAACTCAGAAAATTTAGTCGTTTCTACACTTAATTCGAATTTTCTCTATTTAGACGACTTTTTTGTCTATTATGTTCTAATTCGTTTCACTCAAACGAACATAAATTATTTACAATCAAAACAAGAACAATTGTCTATATAGGTATGGAAGCGCTTGCTTGCCAGTATTTATTAGACGTATACATTTACAAAACACAAGTCTTCAATGGTACCGATTCTCTACCTTCCTTCAACAATATATCAAAAATATGATTAATCACACATAACAGTACAAAATGCATTTTAACACAATGCTTTTATATGTCCTCACTTCACCGATTAAAAACGTAATATAATGCATGTATGAACACAATTATGCTTCCCTCGCCGCCCAGGAAAAACCATAGATAAAAAACAACATCGATTTATGTTGGGAAAACTATGGAAACCTGTGAGTCCGCAGCAATTGCGAGGTAAACAAAATGAATGGCGGACTCATTCTCACAAACTTACGTAAGTGTCATATATTATAATGTACAATTAATCGACTAGTTTAAGTAAAAAACCTATGCAAAATAAATGTAAGTTAGAACTATCTGTAAACACATTTCGACTATATGTAGCTAATATGTACCATTACACAACAATCTTACATTTATATCAAATTTTACATAAAATTATCTAGAGCGACTAAGCAACTTGTTTCCCGCTTTTCAAGGGGGGGGAGGGTGATTATAAAAAAATCTCTGATATTCAAGACATGTAGCTCTTTATTTTGTGATCTCATATAGATTTGTTGTCTGTAAGGGATACAAGACGAAGATGGTCTAACATGTCAGATACGGGACTGGGACGAGGTGTGAAGCACCGAGTCTCAGTCCCATATCTCCCATAATAGATCTCATCTTATAAAACATTTTTTCAAGATATTGGCTATTGTCATAATATGATACTTGTGACGGTGTATCTTACTTAAAACATTTTTTCAATGCACTTTTGTATTGGCTATTGTCATAATATGATACTTGTGACGGTGACCAACGTAAAAGATCGTTTCTCTGTAGTTCGAAAAGAGTAGCTGGGGGCCGCCAGAGAAACCAAAATCCTTCAAAAACCGATTATTTAAACTGATTGTCCGCCGACCAGATGGATGGGGGCTTAAGGTGTTCAGATATTTCTTTCAAAGGGATGAATAGATTTTGAATAAAAAACCTTTATTGAACACCAATCATATATTATTTATCGTTGTGACACTCTACGGACGCATTAAAAAGAGCTGAGCAACTTCATGGTAAAAAGCGATTCTGAGAGTATTGTGAAGGATCTTTTTTTAACGTATGAAGATTGTAAGTGACCAATAGGCAAATATATTCCAGGAAAGTACCGTTTTTGTCCCTTGGATAATGGATATCGAAAGCACCACATCTTTACAAAAATAAATTTGGAAATATATTTTGAAATTAATTTTCCAGGAGAAAAAATCGGAGTTGTGTGGGATATATTAACAGATCGAGTGTAAACTTGTCCTAATGTTACCGTTCTACAATGGACCACTTCATGTGGATTTATTTGGATGTTTTTTCGGAAAAATCACAAATTTAAAATAAGTGCTTCAAAATCGGTCGTTTCACAATCAGTGACCTGTCTGGACGGAGTGTAAATTCTAATGGATTTCTGAGATACTCCTATTTTGAAATTTCGTTGCATAAATTGGTTTCTATAAAGTTTTTATTGGATTACGAGATGTTGATTGCTCCATTGCTTGAATTGGATTACGAGATTGTTGATTTATATATAAAATGCATAATTTTTGTTTATTTTCTGCCTTATTCATTCGCTGTGCAAAGTCTAGGTGACGTCATCCTTTGTTTCACACAGTCCAGTATTATTTTGGAGTACAATATTAGATATAATATAGTACTCCTGACAATAATATTGGACTATAGCTAGTACACTCTTTGAAATATGAGACTGTAGAAACAAAAGAATGACGTCACAAAAATGTTTTAAATATATAGACGATGTAATGTCAATTGATTATGGTTATTTCCATTCTTACAATGTATGTAGACACGGTATATCCCGGTGAGCTGGAAAAGATATCAAAGAGTCTGTTTCATATTTAAGTACTTTTACTTGAAAAAGACGTAAATGGTAATCTAACAACCACGCTTTCTGACAAAACTGATGACTTTAATGTTTTACTATTTTGGCTTTCCAGAAAGCCTGAAATGTTATCTCTTTGGCTTCATTGATATTACAGAATAAATAGTAGAGTGTACATTTTTTCTCAACTATAACAGATTTTTCTATTCTTCTAGGGAAGGGGAGTGGCAGCTTACCTGAACAATTTAAGATTAGGAAAAAGGGTAGTGACCAAACTCCAAAATCCTATGTTGTAGATGAAAACAGAATATTTTAACTTTTTTTATTTTTTCGAAAAACAAACTCATTTTGTTAGTACATGACTATACATATCCAAAAGTGTGGATAAGGGAGGGGCTGACATTGAACAATTACTGCAGTACAAAATTAAAAGGGCTTGAACACAGATTTGTAGATCTGATTTTCTAAAATTGTCTAATAAAATCATGATTCAATTTTGCTAAAGCATTTTACACTGCATGAAATATACTGAAATAATGTTTAAAAATCTCTTTTATCTGGAAATTATCAAAACTACAAATGAAAATTTGGGACACGTTCTATTGGCATATATCCTAGCACTTCCACAAAGTAAACTTAATAAATAATAGAGATAACTCTTAATAGCAAAAGGGTCCATTATCCCTTTATACATTTGTCAAGTTGAAGAGGTTTTTTTTGGTCCAATTTTACCCCGTAGGCCATGCTATAATTGTTTGAATTTTACTTCGCATTTCCATTTCCTTTGAATAATCGTAAGAGTAATTAATATTTTTTTTAATGTTTAAAAAAATGTTTATGTCCCGCTAAGCAGTATTTGTAAAATCTGTGACAAAAAATCACAAGAATTAGTTGCCTGGGTAAAATCTTAGCCTTGTTTTTGACCTTACATACATGTATTTCACAGCTTCTTACTCTGACAGCACTAAGCGCTTACTTAAATAATTCCAACCCTTTCCAAAGATTTCCCGTAAACTTCCCTTTCCTTTTAGTGATATGGGCGTCGAACCCCTTAGTTATAAAGGGGGAAATGGACTAAACTTACATCAAAAAGTTTACTATTCAAAATCAACTTTCAAAAACAAAAACGATTTAGAGGGTGCCCAGGCTCACCGTTTTTTGTCCAAAATATACATAAGATTTAACAATTAAATCATTTTTTGTGTGCCTTCGGGCCTCTACCCAAAGCCAATATGCTTTTAACAGGCTTGGGGTCAATTACTTTAAAATGTAATTAATTACTTTCAAATACATTGATAATTTTGTCAATTACTTGCAATTACAATTACATAGATTTTTTCAAATGTAATTAATTACTTTCAATTACTTTAACAAATGTAAATAAATACATTTCAATTACTTCTAGTTTTATTTTTATAAAATAAAATAAAGATTTTTTTTAAAAATAAGATTTTTTCTATAGTGATCAAATTCGAAATTTCATTCAGTGTTTTTGTTCTTGGGTAAGATAGGGCTTCACACCTGGTCAAAATAAGACCTTATAATGAGTGTGACACACTGTATAAACAAATTAAACATTATGAGACAATTAATTATTGTACAAACACAAGCCCATGCCACACCAGTATTGTGCATGGCAAGATCTTTTTTGTTACTTTCTCAAATCCATATTTTTGAAGGAAATAAATAATATCTATCACAATTCCATTCATTATTTTCTATCTTAAAATGAATAGAATACAGGTAAATCTAAAAGGGGATGTAGTTAGTCTAGTTGCTGTAAAACAAATTAACTATCTAAACAATCATTGTTATTTGCAAGTGGGAATAGGAAGAACTGAGATTTATAAAACATGGGAATAAGTAGTATAAACCCACCAGTATAAAACTATGTATCAGTATAAGATACCTTTTTAAATATAAACTTTCATTTTGAAAAAAAGTAATTGAAATGTAATTGAAAAGTAATTGAAAATACATGACCTTTTTTGAAATGTATTTAAATACATTCAATTACTTGTAATTGAAAGCTCGCTCAAATACAAATTACTTTCAATTATTCTGAAAAATGTAATTAATTACACTCAATTACAATTACTTTATTCAATTACCCCATCCCTGGCTTTTAAGCATGAGTAAGTAATAAAATTCAAATGCTATCAGCTTAGATCAAGCATTTGAAAACCTGTCTTCTCAAATTGAGAAAAATCACACAAATTAAACCAATTAATTTAAGAAATATTTTATTCATAATATACAAAGAAGCGTACAATAAATATGGATTGAACAGCAGGCCTAAGGCCTATATTACTTCTCTCAATTTGAGATCAAGGTACAAATGTAAGTATTATACATATTTGAGTTCTACAAAGACATGTATAATAAACTAATATTGAAAGGGTTAAAGAGTACATAATGGAAGAAAAATTGAGGGGGGAAAGTGGGTAAAGAAGACAATTTTTTTTTAAATAATGAAAAAAAGAAAACAAATGTGGAAAAAAGATTTTTCAAATTTGTTCTAAATTAAACCAATTATCTAACGTTAAAAACCAAGAGAGAAAAGTTTTAATATCGTTTTCTGTTGATGCTCTGTGAATGAATTATGCTGTTTTGTTTTTTTTTTTGTTTTTTGTTTTTTCTTTTTTAAAGAAAATTAGTAATTGAATAGTTTGAAGATTTAATATGTACTATACCTTTGCCTTATAATGTAACAGACTACTGATTATGCAGCTGAGACTAAGCTGTTTTGTATTTCAAAATGTTGTTGAAAATTATTGATTGTGCATTACTCTCTTTGTTTAACTTTTTTTTCGCACATTTTATAGGCTCTCCAAGCCTGAATTGAATATTTAATTATATGGCGATTTTGTAAATGATTTCCAGTTATTTGAACATTTTGCAGCTGAGCGTTTTGATAAAATCATGCAGTAGTCGTCAAGAAGCTAAAAGGTGAGTTCATTTAATTTTTTTGAGACATTTGCGCTAAACAAATTTGTTATTCAATTACAGTGAAAACATTTTTTGATGAAGTAGCTTACTTATTTTTAGTTATAGTTATAATGTAAACTGATTTTGTTAATTAAATATCAAGGTGCATTAATATGATATTCTTTCTTTCAATAAAAAAAATGTTGATTATATGCCGAATTGAGAAAAGAATCAAAATAATCAGGATAATCTAAACCTACAAAAATTATCAATATCAACAACACCGGTTTTCTTTATAATTAATAATATTGATCAACAATAAAACCTGTGTATAGATAACAATTTCATAAACATATATAGTTATATAAGGAGGAGTTAGTGAGTAAATATATATTTTATATCATTCTCCACAGGTATCCAACATCCAAATTTTATATTTTATAAGATATACATGTACGAGGGTTGATCCAAAATTTCTGGAATTTTTTCATATTTTATTTATTTTTATGTGGAATTGGTTGAAAATTACAAATGATAATATAGACACTTAAGAAATATTTTATGGTAAAAAACAGGCTAAATATCTTTGATAGTAACTCTATGGCTGTTGCCATGGAAACGGTTGTTTGGAAACGCGGGGGAGACATTAACGCGTTTATTTAAATTTTAATTCTGTTTAATTAATTTGTGAAATGAGAATTAAACAGCCCTATGTAGTATATAGAACGAAAATTATGTCATTTTTACGATTGCTTGATCTAATATAAACCTTTGCATAATAGTTTTACTGATTTTACTGGATTTTTAGTTTATTAGTTGATGACTTACTGTTCATCTTTAAGTTGTTAAACAACGTCAAATTTCGGTCAAGTCATACGTTTTGTGAAAATTCCGGGATCGCTCTATCTTAAACGCGTATATAATTGACAAAGGCTTGGGAAAAATGCATTTAGTTACAGGTTTTCCAGTGGCATAAGAAATTTAAGAAAAAAGAACTTCTATGGACGTTGATTAAAGGTGTGGTCGCTTTTTGGAGGCTCTGTTTTAAGTGCATGTCCCCCTAGACAAATGAAAGGCGTTAATGGACGTTGTTGGCTGCCGTACTGTTCTTGACATTGCTACTGAAATTGGAACATCATATGGAAAGATGGGAACAATTTGAAATATAAGTGAAAAATGAAGTTGGTGTGAGAGGATACCCAGACTTTCCTTGAAAAAAAAATGGAGAAAAGGACAGCATTTTGTAGAATTACGTAATCTAATTGGACATAAGGGCGAGTTGCTTCTATAACGTGACGTGACATATCTAACTTGACGTTACGTCAAAATCTCCCCCGGGTTTCACAACTATCCACTTTCAGAAAGCTCGTGTGACCTCATTGGTAATTGGAAAGGGGTGAAATTTTCCACTATTGTTGAATTATGACTCTATATTATGAATACGCCTGATATTTGCTTTCATCAAATCACGATACAATTTTAGAAAGAAATTCCACGAATTTTTTGATCAACCCTCGTCTTGCTATGTATTTCAATTTTCTTATAAAAGTTTAAGTAATAGAATTTTAATATCCCCACTTTCTTTTTTGCACCACGTCTATTGAAATTTCAGATTTATTTTATGATTTTTCTGTCACATCTATGTTTTTGTAAGGGGCATTTGGAAAATGTAATTATATTTAAATATTACTTACATTTTCTAAGTCTATTTCATTTTCCAGTTCTTAGAAGAAAAAATTCTAAGAATTATCAACTTTTCTAAACTTGTGATATGATACTAAGTCTCCTCCAAAGACAAAATTTGTTTGTATCATCTGTCCTTAAGATGACTACATATCTATCAAAAAGAAGGTCCAGGTGTACTATTTATAATAATAATATTTTGCAGCAATGGAGATTAAATGAGTAAAATTTTATAATAGGTATTAAAAGCAATCCAAATGTTAAACATCAAACAATGGCAATAATTGTTGCTAGATTTTAGATTACGTGTAGCGGGAGTTTACGTTTCTCTTCGTAGAAAATTGATAACAATGGGTATTGCAGTTGTTTCTTGTTGCATTTTTCGGTGTAAAGACGAATAGTGAAAATTTCATGAAGTCATGATTGTTATACTTAAACAACGAATTATAATGACAAAGAGATGATATGCATCAAACATGCTTGTGCATGTACATGTACCTGATATCTTTCAAGGAGAATGAAAACGCAATATTCGAAACGTAATGATATTTGATAAATTTATCAACTTAAAAATAAGTGAAACAAGTAAAACAGCATTTTCAATACACTTTTCCAAAGTGTTATATATTTCTTTACACTTTTGACAGTTACTTTAATTATTCGAAGCATGCAGTTCTTAAAGTAATTACTTTGCAATGTGCAAGATTTCTTCATTATATATATTTATGTGTAGAAACGGTTTTCAAAAAAAATCTTTAAATTATTTCATTTTGGATGTAACGCGTCATTTAACTGGATAAAAATTAATCTATAATGTATAACCTGGATTGCCTTCGTCACAATTACTTACGTCAAAAACATATCAATCCGCTTGACGTTACGTTTAAAATATGAACAATCTTAAAGCGTTTTTAGCTCACCTGAGCCGAAGGCTCAAGTGAGCTTTTCTGATCAAAATTTGTCTGTTGTCTGTCGTTGTCGTTGTTGGCGTTGTTGTCGTTGTTGTCGTTGTCGTCGTCGTCGTAAACTTTTCACATTTTCATCTTCTTCTCAAGAACCACTGGGCCAATTTCAACCAAACTTGGCACAAAGTATCCTTGGGTGAAGGGGATTCAAGTTTGTTCAAAAGGGCCACGCCCTTTTCCAAGGGGAGATAATCATGAATTTATTAAAAATTAATGGCATTTTTAAAAAATCTTCTTCTCCAGAACCGCTGGGCCAGGAAAGATGAAACTCATGTGGAATCATCCTCAGGTAGAGCAGATTTAAGTTTGTTCAAATCATGACCCACGGGGCAAGGGTGGGGCCAAAATGGCCGACCCAAGTTTTACATAGGAATATATAGGAAAAATCTTTAAAAATCTTCTTCTCAAGAACCACTGGGCCAGGAAAAATGAAACTGATGTGGAATCATCCTCAGGTAGTGTAGATTCAAGTTTGTTCAAATCATGACCACCGGGGCAAGGGTGGGGCCAAAATGGCCGACCCAAGTTTTACATTGGAATATATAGGAAAAATCTTTAAAAATCTTCTTCTCAAGAACCCTTGGTCCAGGAAAGATGAAACTCATGTGGAATCATCCCCAGGTAGTGTAGATTCAAGTTTGTTCAAATCATGACCCCTGGGGCAAGGGTGGGGCCAAAATGGCCGAAAGTTTTACATAGGGATATATAGAGAAACCTTTGAAAATCTTCTTTTCAAGTACTTCAAAGCTATGATTAGTGATATTTATATGGAATCATCCTCAGGTAGTGTAGATTCTAGTTTGTTCAAATGATGAACGCCTGGAGGGGGGGGGGGTAAATTCAAGCCCGATGTGCTCAGGTGAGCGCTGTGGCCCCTGGGCCTCTTGTTTAAAGGAGAAATCTTATTTTTCCTATTGCTAAATGATTCAAAATACAAAGAATTAATTAAAAAAAAAAACAACCCACGTTATACTGGTATAACCTCGGGTGGAGCAGCTTACACTTGTTTAAAAACCACGAATTTAAGGAATTAATTAAATAGCAACCCAAGTTATACTGTATAACCTGGGTTTAGGCATATCAAGATTTATAAACCGCGAAGCCATTTATGCAAAAAGAGTTCAACCCAGGTTATACCAGTATACATTTAGAAGAGAAAATCCTATGTCTTTGACTATGAAGAATTTTTGGAAAGTGATGTATATAATATTTATAAATACTATTTACAAAACTATTGCGAATTTAACATATGGACATAACGACGGTATTCAAGATCAAAGGTCCATAAAACAATACAAAATAGGAGCAGAGCAAACACGGACCTCCAAAAAAATCAAAGGTGGGATCAGGCGCTATGGAGGAGTGAGCATCCCTTGCCGATCGGTCACACCCGCCGTGTGCTCCTTGTCATTATCGGGAAATAACGGAAAAATCTGTCGTCAATTCAGTGTATTACTAATGACTAACAATTAGTTAGAAACACGTCAGTCAGCATTAGACTCAATGACAAATTGTATTTGCTGAAAAGGTATCATTGTACCGATCAAAAAACTTACGAAATGGTGACCTTTTTCCATCAACTTATTTGTCAATAATTTACCTCGATTTTAAAATTGTTCATACGTAGAGCATGCCATTACGTATCTCATCAACTAAGATATATAAACTCGATAAGCAAGTGATGAAGTAATCTCGTTTATCATACAGTTTGGTTGTTAGACCACCATTAACGTCTTTTTCAAGTAAAATATTCAAATATGAAACAGATGTGTCAGAGTCTGTGGTATCTTTTATCTCAAGCTCACCAGGATATATCGTATCGACATCAGAATGCAAATTACCATTGTTATTCGACAATACGTCGTCGATATATTTATATGTCCATTTGAAGACCACAGCAAGTGTTTTCTTCCTTTCACATATCACATATAAGATTCTGGACAAATTCTGCTTCGTATGAATACAAAAATAGGTCTGCTTATAACAGGGCGTGATTGGTACCAATGGAAATTCGGGAATTCCAATAGATTGTTAAAAAATCTGGTCTCCAAACACCACATAACTATTGTCAATCAGAACACAAGCATATTTTTGATTTCAACTTCAGAATACTTGAGTGTACAATCAGAAAGTTTTTTAACAAAATATTTTTGCAAATGACAAGTGACGAGATAGTAAATTTACGAGTTCTTGGAATGGTTGTGTATATGCAAAGTATATGGTGAAACGTCTTTTAAATTATAAAACGTGACCATAAATCTATTTAATGAAGCCTTTATTGTATTTTTTTTAACAATGACTACTAATAATGAATAAATAATGGAAAGTCAATATTCGATCATATTGAGACATTTGAATTTTTCATAATCAAATTATGAATAAGTAATACAAGCCAAACGACATTTTCCAGGTATACACTACGTACCCGTACATTCTTAATGAGAAAACAAAAAAGGACACATTTAAATTTAAGCAGGAATATTGTCTATATTATTTTGAAATATCGTTGCAGATGGATCCCTTTATTGCTTTAAACTTTTCTTTTGCTTTTTAGAAAACACATTAAAATTCAATGTCAAGTTATGATTAAAAATACCACAAGGGCATTTGGTGTGTTCGCCAGTAACTAATAGCATAAAAAAAATCTTTAAAAACTTTCTTTGCAACGTGCAAAATATGTCCTCATTACAATACGTAGCCACAGATTCCATAATAATCATCTTTGCGTACTTTTGAAATGCTTCAAGATGGATGAACTGACAAAGTGTGACAAGGATCACAGTCAGTCTCTTTTGTCCTATACATTTTTTAGAGTTCAACAGTAAACATATTGTGATAACGAAAAGTACGAAGGCTGTTCAGAAATTATTGAGATACTGTGTATATTTTTCTTTCTAATGAAGGTCTTTCGGTGAAAATTCGCAAATACGTTTGACAAACACTAAGAATTTGTAAAACATAAAAATATTTTAAAAATATTTAATTTCCTATCTTCAATGGGCTATAAATGTGTAAATGGTAGGGTTACCCGGCGCAGTCACGAAATCAGATATTTAAAATGTGAAATAACGACGTTCAAACTCCTGTGGACCCATAATAAAGGCGATAATAATTCAATTTATGTTTATAATGTTTCAATTTTATTTGACTGCATGTTGTGTAAGTTTGTAAGAATTCTTATCAGAAATAATTAGCACAGTAAAGAATTCTGGTAACGACGAAAAAAATGGAATTTGACGTCAAGGCGGAGCAGCGAGAGACTTAAAAATTTTGTGTACAGTAGCGCTATTTAAAACTCTTTTCAAGACTGACCAACCTGATAAAACAATAAGATTTCAAAACATGTTTAAGGGTTGTTTTTTCATTGGTTTATATTTTTAGTGACCAATAATTCAACCAGAGTAAAATCAAAAGCTCCGGACGACTATCAATTTTGACCTAACGGAAGCAATAACGTTGACCCACGTTGCGTAAATCGGCACTGCATGGTGCAAATTCATCCTGTAGATATGACAAATGAAAATTTCACGATGGTGAAGCAACAGCTTACATTTTTAAAGAATCGTGTAAGAAAAGAGAAAGTTTGATTTTTGTAATGTTACATATGATAACAAAGAAAAAAGTAAACACTTCCCGATCGTTTCACATGCAAAAACATCTCCGACTGACGTGAAGTTAAATTGACGTAGCGATGCTGCTCAAGGTCGATGGACATAGGCATTTTTATTATTCACTACAACTTATCTAATTATCCTATAATTTAGAAACTTTGCATATTTGTTTTATTTTGCTTTCTAAAGTGTTGAGGAATTTTCCTGAATTTATCTCTGCTCTTTATAGAGTTGAAGTAAATGTCTCAATAATTTCCGAACAGCACTCGTATTCAAGATCAAAAGTCCATAAGTTTAGGAGTTGATCCTTACGTCGCGGATTCGAATCCCACTGTTGGATGTAGAGACCAGTCCTTTGGATTAGACCGTATAAACCAAGGTCCAGTGTCGCAGTAGGTTCTGACAGACATCAACAATGGCTGTTTTAAACCGACAAATAATGTGTGCTTTTTTTTACTTTGAAATTTTTATTATCTTTCATGTTATATCTATATCTGTATACCAGTAATTTGCTGCATCATAAAAGGACAAGCTTTTAAAATATTCCTTAGACCTAATTTTAACTGAAGATTCCTGCATTTACTTTTCGGACTTTTTTTCAGATGAAGATTTGTGGCTTCATCTTTCAGATTTTGTCATATATCAAAGTAGTGCAAGGTTTGACAGGTAAGATACTAGTGATGTTTTTACTGTAAGAACTTGTAAAGTAAAATATACTTTACTTTTTGTTGAAAGACGAGATTGGTTTTGGTAAGGTTGTCATACGGTCTACCATCATTCTTGTAAAATGCATGTATCATCTGAAAATAAAAGTTTAAACTTCAAATTACTGTGGTTATTATGATTTTCTTAGAAAAAAATTAAACCTGAATCATAATTTAACTTAATCATTTTGTCGAAAACATACCAAATTACGAACCTCACACAACCATCCATTTATTATTTACTACCTAGGGTATACTATTTTGATTCAATAGGTCAAGGGTTTAACTCCGGGCTGGGGCTGGCATCCTAATAAAAAGTATATTTCTTTAAGCTTTCTATATTAATGTTTTTTTTCACTTAGGGCAGTTACATTGTATGTTACTTGAAAAGATGTTGTAAAATGTGCTATATGAATAAAAATTGATTTCGTTTTTAACTTTTATTGGTAACGATCCTAAAAAAAATCTTGTATCAAAATTACTGTATCTCACTACAATTTTCAATGACCGTGTAGTGTTGGGCAGCGCTGCAAGAGTTCCATCGGCATCGAAAGCAAGTTTTTGACTTGCCTAGGAAGCCAAACGGTTTAGCGCGCTATTCCTGTACTCTTAGAAGACAGAATCCATAGGGCGAGAATTTCAGAGGGCGAGAGTTAAATCCGGGCTGGGGCGGAAGTGGGTATCCTTAACGTGTATTGATAAAGATCCTCTAAAACACTATTGTCCAAAAGCTGTATCTCTTTTTACATTCTCATTGACCGCGTAGTTTAGGGTGTGGGTATGTGGGCGTGTGGTGGTGGTGGTGGTGGTGTGGGGGGGGGGGGTATGTGGGTGTGTAATCACTTTAAATTTCTTTTATAGAGATTAGCGTCAAATGCAGGTACAGAGTCAATCTGCCGGAGGCGTCATGGCACACAGCATACGACGTGTGTGAGAAGAATAACCAGACTCTGACAAAAATCAATTCATTAGCTGAAGAGGAAATTTTAAAGGACGTTCTGGAAGACGTCCATAAGATGAACAGTAAAATAGAAAAGTACTGATCAATCCTCTTAAATATTTTATGTTGTTTTACCTTTAAAATAGATTTTTATATAACTTTATACTAAATAATGTCTAATATTTCCAATGTTTTACCGAGGGATCATAAAATATTGATATATATTTGACCGCAGCGAGTTATTGGACCTGTGGTTGATGTTCGAAAATGACAGAATAGACCCGAGTTGTAGTTCAAGTAAAGGTAATTAACAAGGTATCCAGCACAAAATATATTTTTGTCAAAACAGTATAATAAAAAAAAATATTGACTGTGTACTTGGGCACAATCCGTTTTGTCGACCTCTGAGCCAAAGTAATTGCCTTAATACCTCGGGTAAAAAATTTGCATGTCAATACAGTATATCCCTGTGAGCTTGAATAAAAGAGACCACAAAGTCTAAAACATCTGATTCATGTTTGGATATATTACTTGAAAAAGACGTAAATGGTAATCTTACAACCAAGCTTTGTAATAAACATGCATGACTTTAATATCATGTCGATGATATAAGTACATTGTTATGATGAAGAATGGTGCCTCTTCCAAATTAGGGGTACCGGTGGGAGGGTATAATGATCATATACTGAAAATGAATTAATGCTTTTAAATCCGCTCTTTATTATTAATCGACCATTTATGCTGAGCAAAGGTGGTTTTGTGAAATATGTGGCCTTAGGAACAGTTGCTCTTGAGGGGTTTGGCACTATTTATTATTTAGTGGAAATGCATTTTTTCTTTGTTCATCTGCCTCTGTGTATATAAGTTATGATAAAATATGGTGCCTCTTTCATGAATTTCGTGGCCTCTGGTTTTAAACATGAACCAAATTCAATTGGTAGAAAGTTGTTGATTGATACTCATGTGACCTATGAGGACCTCTTTATGTTATTAATTATGTTATTTTGTAGTGATTATTCAGATGTTTGGATTGGTGGAATTATGCGGACATCCAACAATGAGAGTATGTACCTAGACTGCAAATCGTTTAAGCCTCGTCATCAAATTATCATGCCTGAAACGGAGCTGGAAGATAAAATAGCTTGTCTATATTTCAACCTCACAGATAAGAGACTGTACGTGGATAGCTGTGAAAGTCATAAAACATTCGTATGCGAAAGCAAGAATCAAGGTAAATGAAAGTCCATCGAAATTTTCTCATGAGCCGTTTTGGTTTTTATTAGCCGCCTAACGGAGGGAAATATAGGTCGTTACTTTGCGTAGGTCCGTCTGTCTGTCTAAAGCTCCCTTTCGTCTGTACGTCTGTCTGTCTATCTATCTGTCAGTAAGCCTCACTTGGTTTTTCGCAATTTTTATGCCCCCCTTTGAAGAAGGGAGGGCATATTGCTTTGCTGTCGTCTGCCGGTCTGTAGTTTCCGTTCATTTTCTTCACAACCGTTGCAAATATCAGATAGATATCTTGGTCAAGTTTTGTTTTGGGTATGATAGCGCTATTTTTGACAGAGTTATGCTCCTTGGACTTCCAATTATTCCAAAATTCCAATTATTTGCAGTTTCCTTTCATTTTCTTCGCAGAGGTTGCATATACTGAAATGAAATTTAGTATACAGATTTATCCGATAAATATCTAGGTCAAGATTTGTTTTGGGTACACTTGCGCCATTTTTGATAGAGTTATTCCAACTGGACTTAGAGAAATTCCACTTTTGGGTGGAGGATGGCATAAATGTTTTTACAAACATCTATTGTTTCTAAGTGTTTGAGATTTTGACAGAATATGAATTTTAGCAATAAGCATGTTTGATTGTTAAATGTTAAACGCCTCTCGAGAAGTTTTCACGCCACGATTTGCTGGTGGAGAACTGCAAATTCTTGTCCTATATTCGGCACTTACAGTCATTCAGCAGTGAGGGATTTCATTCGTGCCAGAACCTAGTGCGACACGGGACCAGATTTGTAGCGTCTCCGCGTCCAATGCAGTGGGATTCGAACCTGTGATGTAAGGATCAACTCCGCAACTCTAGAGCAGACGCTCTTACCACTGCGCCACGCAGACATCTATGTTCATAGCATGTGTACCTTGATGAGTTACAGATTAAGTTTGCATTTCTTTCCGCTTCAATGATTTTGGACGGAATAGCAACCCTTTTGATTATTAAGAGTTTTCCGATATTGAGCTGATTTTTTCTTATATTTATGCAACATGACCTTGATGAGTTATTGATCAAGTTTGCATTTTGTATTTTTCAGCTTCAACGATTTTTTATGGAATTTTGGCATTTTTAATTTTAGTGGGAACCAAATAACACTAACCTGTAGGGCACTAGTATTGCTAATGTGATACTCTGAGAATGCCTGTTATACCCTCCGCTTGAAAAGTTGGAGTGTATATAGTGATCGGAATATCCATCCGTCCGTTCGTCTTTTACGCTTTAGGGGTACCCATTTTATCCTCACCTTCTTTATACCATTTAATGAAATTTATTGAAAATTCCACATATTCATTATGAAATGGTACTTTTATGCACCTCCTATTTTACTTTTTGATGAGAAATATATTTTGGGTTGCCCATGACAAAAGGTGGCAAGCGTGGCGCAGTGATTAGAGTGTCTGCTCTAGAGTCGTAAAGCAAGGAGTTGATCCTTATGTCGCGTGTTCGAATCCCACTGCTGTGGGACATGGACACCGGTCCTTCAGATGAGACAGTGTAAACCGAGGTCCCGTGTTGTAGTAGTGCTGGCACGAAAAAGATCTTTCCATGATCAATGGCTGTAAGTGCCGAGTAAAAGACAAAATTTGCAGCTTTCAACCGGCAAGGGGTGGCGTCTCTATATAGAGAAACACCGACATCCTACGAACGAACGTAACCAAAAACGGGGGTTAGCCATTGTAGTCTATTGTTTTCACGGTTGGATTATTTATTTCTTCAATTTTATTGGGATTTCGATAGAAAAAATCCCCACAATATACCTCAAATCCACGTCTTGTCGTTAGTCGCTACCGTGACGCTACAATACATTTCAATGGACATTTAAACGAGCAAAGGGGTTCGAGAAGGGAAATGAAAGAAAAATTTAAAAAATGTCATTCTGTGGCATGAAATAAAAAATAAAAGTATGTGCGGATCTAGTAGGGGTCGAAAGGGGGGGGGGGTTATTTTATGAAGGGCGGTCGGGACAATAAGAATTTATGGTCTAAAATTGAATTGCAAAAATCCAAAAACTTAAAAGAAATTCTTGTTCAAAATACTATATGCTGCGAAAAATAAAATTAATATGGCTTTAATAGACAGGTATTATAGCCATATCATAAATCCATAGGGGATGCCCGTTCGTAATTTGTCGGTTGATAAAGCTTCTTCTTACAAACATGTATTATAAAAATCTTCATATAATTCTCATAGGTGTTAGTGGAGTGGAAACCCCCCACCCCCCACTTAACATCCCAGACCTAAAGCTATTTTTTAATTTCACTGTAAAAGCTCAAAGGCTTCTTGAGATATTGCTGAAAACAAAAGTGTTACAGACGGACAGAATTATAAGACGAACGGGCAGACCGAAATAAATATCTCCAACTTTCGGGGAGGGGGGGGGTCGGCGCAAAAATGGAAGTTTAGGGAATTGTATTTTTGACATAATTTAAGATATATGAGAGCAAGTCCCATACTAGCATGCCATCATAGGACCTATGCCCCCCCCCCTCTCCCAACCCCTGGAATACATATAAATCTTGGTCCAAAGATACTTTTTGGCTTTCTTTCATTTATAACATTTACCACATACAAAATTGATACCCGCAGTTAAAAAGTCAGAAGTGATTTAAGATACTACAGGCATGTTTTTTTGAAAAATAAAAAGTGAATTCTATGTACTTTTTGGATTTTTCATATGAAATACATTGTAAATATGTACTAGACGGTTAATTTATGAAAGAAGACAAATATGAATATCTTGGGACCCGGTATGTATTTCGGGGGTTGGGGTGGGGAAGTTGTTTGGTCTACAAGCACTTGTGATAAGCATATGTGTGCACATACTTTTGAAGGATGCCATGACAACTGAGTGACAACTACGTTTTCATATTATTCACACTTTTAAAAGTCCGTATATATTATTGTCGGTATTCTGGAATCAATCTTTTTTTTTTGTTTTACAACAGGATATAGAATATATATATATATTTCTTTACAGGTGAAGCAAGTTATAATTTCGGTTATAGTTTTTATTTGTATATTGGACCTTCGGTCAAAAAAACACTGTGTGTGGTCAAAAGTATAAAGTGTACCTTCTAATTTTATATTTTGACGAATAATGCATGATTAACAAATAATGACATGGTGGAGCATAACTTCAAGGAAAAAAGAACTTTACTAAAAAAAACACACCACCCTGAGTAAATGCAAATTTTCAGCCTTTTTTATAATCCACACATATAAACAGATATACATGTACACACGGTCGTATAAAAGAACGGGGTTGAGGGGTTGGGGATAAGCCCCCTCCCCCAATGAAGTCGATAAATAAGCAATGTAATACAGGTATTATACTAATAGAAAACTTAGCTACTGTATACTTGTGCCCATTTAATAAAAAAATCTTTCATTTTGGCTTCCCAAGGAATTGTTTGGTAGTGACTCTTAACTTTTGGTTGTTCCCCCTCCCCAACTGCTTCAGGCCTGTTACATACACATGTATATATAAAATAAAAGCAGCCCAAGATAATTTAGTTAAGATCGCCATTTAAAACATTATCTAAGAAGATACTGCTTACCATGAATGCTCGTTTATTTCTTTGAAGTGATATTTTAATAAATTTCAAAAAGAATATCTCTCTCTCTCTCTCTCTCTCTCTCTCTCTCTCTCTCAATACAAGACACTTTATGAAGCACACAACCTATTTGATTGCACGGATTTATTTTTTCAAGCTGTAAAAAGTAACCTTTCCCCATATGAACAAGGTGCACACTACGAGTAGTTTGTATACGTTTAATCACTGACGCATGACAAACGTATTTCCTAATCCTTCTAAAGTATTATGGTGTATTTTCTTCTATTTTTTCCCCCTTTCTAAAACATTGTAAGTGATTACCGAAAAAATGACATAAGCAATTTTCAAATACAAAGTGGTTAAAACACTTTCCGTTCTATTTTACACATACACTTTTTTTTTCCCGATTTTAAACTTTATATGGGTACAATCACTGGTCCCGAGAAAACTATCGAGATACGGGAAGTTAGGGAGAGTTACGTTCGTTCGTAAGATGTCGGTGTTTCTCTTATGAGTGAAAAATTCTCGAGAGGGTCGTTAAACAACACACAACTTATCAATCAATCCCATAGCAAAACATTGATACTTGAATGCCATTTTTTAAAAATAATTTTGAAGGGTACCCATCTCTTATCCACCTGTCCTCCTATACCACAGAATAAATGATAAAGATAACTTTCAAATATTCTTTATTACATAATGCCATTGGGCACCTCCTATTCTACTTTTTGATCTGACACTTATTTCGGCCTTCCCGGAGCAAAACGTGGACTTTGCCATTTTAATCATATGGAGACTGAAATAATCAATTACTGAGCTCACTGCTCACCTCTTGTAATACCCCTGCTTGAAAAGTGGGAGGGTATATAGTGATCGGGATGTCCTTCCGTCTGTCTGTCCGTCCGTTACGCTTTGAGGTACACATCTCTTATCCGCAACTCTTCTTACTAGTATATCATTGATTAAAATCTAAATGAAACTTTCACAGATTCTTTGTCGTATATTTCCAATGAGCACTCCTATTTTACTTTTTGATCAAAAACATATTTATTCGTTGAAAACTGCACATGATAATTAAGATATGATTGTTTTACATTGATCAGAATATAAAATCTTTTTTGAAGTCTAATCTTCTCTTTTGGAAATCTCTTTTTGAACAGACGACTACGTTTACTCAGCTGAGCGTTGTTCCCTTTGCTTTGTACAGCAGATCGAGTACTTCAAAAACTGAAAATAAGAAATGATGCAGTTGAATACCAGTATACCACAGGCACTTGTTTCGAAAACGGGGTACCCCCTACCTATATTTACCACAAGGTACCTAACCCATTTTCGGGCACCCCCGCTTTAAGTTCGTATTTACTAATAAATCAATCATACACCTACATTATCTTGACATAGTTTGCTCCAAGAGATATTTTTCTAAAATACTGACGTCTCATATAAGGATATTTTCTTGTAAAATGCTTATTTATTCATCGATAATCAGCTTGAATCATATTAAAACAAACCATCAATCTCTACCCATAGTTATCGTTCTTACTTTCACCTATTGCATCATAAATTATGAATGTAAAACTTCTATATTCTTCTTTAACATGTTAAATAAAAGTTTATTTATGAGAATTAAAATCATTTATCGCTTTTTCACCATATCCTATAAGGGATTATTTCTCGGCAGGATATTACGAACGTGGAAAATTTAAAATGCATTGCCGATAAATATCAACATGATTTAGTTAGACAAACAACTTGCAGCATTAACACATACAGAGAAATGTAAATGTGTTAATCTTCTTGTTGACAATTTAAACAGCATTCGAAAAAAAAATCACGTCCCTCCGCTTCCGTACTACTTTTTAGACGTCGAAAGAGGTATAAGTGGAACGATGGGTAGAGATTGACAAACTATAAGATACATTCACTTACGGTAATTGGGGTCTAAATGTTATACAGTGATTTCATTGGTTGCTAAGTTAAGCAACGCAAAGGTGAAAGTAAAGCCATGGCGAAAAAGATATCTGAGGAAAAAAATTAGAGATATTATTAAAAATCTTAAAAACAGCAAAGCACCCGATGCAACAGGCTTTACAGCAGAACACCTTAAGATGGGCATTGACCAGATATCCCCAATGCTTACCAACATTATAAATGCCATATTGCATACAGCTGAGGTACTGACAGGACTAAAAATGGGCATATATACTGACACGAATTCTTAAAAAGGGAAAAGATAAGACAAAGCCGGGAAACTACAGAGGGATAACAGTGACATCTCTAATTGGGAAGGTCCTAGAAACGTGTTTGAGATACCAATTGGAACCTATTTTAGATCCAGTACAAAATGCCCTTCAAAGAGGGTTCACACAGGGAACCTCCCCATTGATGGCCGGACTAATAATATCTGAGGCTTTCTGCGAAGCAAAGGACAATAAAGAACAATTAATCCTGCAGACTTTCGATGCAGAAAAGGCGTTTGATGTAGTGTGGCACGAAAATTTACTATGTAAACTAAACAAAGATGGCATTGAAGGCGACCTTTGGAACTTAGTGAAATCTCTACACATAGATGCACATACAATAGTGAAATGGAATGAAAATCTATCACAGGAAATAAAACTAGAACAAGGTATAAGACAAGGAGCCAAATTATCTACTTTAATGTATAAAAATTCAACAATGACCTCCTAAATGCACTACAGACTGTACCCGAGGGAGTAAAGATTGGAACTCTTGACATCACCGCGCTAACATGTGCGGATGACATTGCCCTATTAACAAAAAATCAAACAGACGCGCAGATCTTGACTAATTTAGTGAACACAACTTCAAACAAAGATAGATTTACTATAAATTCAGCAAAATGTGAAATCCTAACTTTTAAGACACGTCAGAAAAAAATATCAGCAAGAAATTGAAGTTGGGGAATGAAACTATCAAACAGGTAACTTCCCTAAAACACTTAGGCATTGAAAGAAACTCAACAAATACTCCTGATATCAGTTAGCGAATAGAAACTGCCCGACGAACCTTGTACGCTCTGCTCGGAAGTGGTATGCATGAAAAAATGGTCTATCCCCTGTTATTACTGTAAATATGTGGACTACATTTGTTATACCAAGATAACTCTACGGAATTGAGCTATTAAACATAAGGAAAATTGACTTAGAGAAACTTGAAAAATATCAAAGAAAGGTACTGAGACAGCTACAAAGTCTACCTGACAGGACCGCATCGATTGCAACTCTATTCCTGATTGGACCCAAAACGATAGAGGCCCACATTGATGCTAGAATCATCACAACATTTTTAAATATTGCTAAAGATCCGGCAACAATAGAGCACCAACTGGCAGTACGACAACTATTGACAAAATCTAGTAACAGTGCCGGTTGGTTTATTAGAGCAAAAAGTACCTTAGAAAAATACGATCTTCCGGATCCATTATACCTTTTAAGGAATGTAAAAAGTAATGTAGAGGCAAAACACTGGAAACAGAAAGTAAAGAAGCAAATATCTGATTACTGGCAAATCAGGAATGAAATTGAAATTTCGGAAAAAGTCTCCTTGCAACATCTCAAATTACAGACCAACTCATGCAGACGTCCTCATCCACTATGGCAGTCAAGTGCGTTTTCACCTAGTGCCTCAAATAAGGCCATTGTCAAAGTCCAACTTGCAACAAACACCTACCGCTTAAAAGACAATACTAGTAGATTTAACCAACACGAAGTGAATAATGAGTGTCTGTTGTGTAGAGAGAGCACAGAGGACAGATTACACTTCCTATTGAAATGTCCCAACTTAGATTCTGTTAGGCAGCCATATCTGACCAAACTAGGACATTACCTGCAAGAAAAAATTGGTACACAGGAATCAAATTCATACATAATGGAGGACATTTATTTACTAAAAGTCATTATTGACCCCTCCTACTTCACATTTTCAGAGATTCCATCCAGAAACAACAAAATTCAGATATTTATTGAGAACCTGAGCCGCAACATGGTATTCGTTCTACATCGCCATAAAGCTCAAACAATTAAAGAAATTAGTACACAGTCTACAACCAACAGACCTTAATATTTTTTCCCTTCCTTGTTAAGGAGGAGTATGTAAATATTTTTAGAGCTGAAATAACTTTTAAAATAGAAACAGTAAGGGTACAGGTGTTAAGCTTTTTTTATCAGGTCTTTTAGTTTTTTTTAATAATAATAAGGAGTTTATAAGTACTTTTAGGGCCGAAACAATTTTATATTAGAAGCTAAGCTAATGTATAGTGTGTAAATTCTTCTTTTATTTTTAGTTGCTCTATCACCTCTAACTTTATTTTTACAGCACTATATAGAATAGATTTTACTAACTGTCTTTTCATCACTTTATTTCTTTTAATTTTAATTTTTATGCCTTTTATGAACCACCTTCTCGGGTGCTCTTTATACATAGGAGGGAACTCCATAACTGAACTGAACTGAACATGGCGTTGACAAAATCGCAACAGGAGATTCTGGATAAGGCTACAGTATAATTAGTACCTAAAAATATATCATCTATAAAAATGTTACCAATTATTTTTCACTTGCAGATTATTTTAATTTCATAAAAAAAATATTTTGTCCGTAACCGCCAAACCGGAAGTGAATGTAGCTTATAGTTTGTCTTAATATTTTTTCAGCTGATTATCGATGAATAAATAAACATTTTACAAAAAAAGATCTTTTAAGGAGACGTCAGCAATGTAGAAAAATATCTCTTGGAGCGAACTATTTCAAGATAATGTAGGTGTATGATTTACTTATTAGTAAATACGAGCTTGAAGCGGGGGTGCCCGAAAATGAGTTAGGTACCTTGTGGTAAATATAGGTATGGAGTACCCAGTATACGAAACAAGTGACTGTGTAGTATACCCTGTTATTTCCATATACATCACTTCGATATAGCATCCAGTCAAAATTGTTTTTGTTATCCTCAGTGTAATTTAAATGATTTGTGATTCCGACCTTGTTAAACTTGATTTTTTTTTTTTATTTTACAGCTCCTTCAAATTGCATGATGGTTTCTCAAACAAAAAGTTTGAAGGACGACTTAGTGTATAAACTGGTTAATGATGGGACATTTGGGCCTAATGAATGCTTACCTAGTTGCGTATCTGGTTGCCTTGATAGGCCCACATGTTATGGCGTAAAACTTACAGAACAAGGATACTTTGCGATCCGCTATTCAAAAAACGACAACTCATTTGTTGGGGACATCTCGCACTTAACACACAAAAGTAAGCTTATGACACTGATGGCAAAAAAAAAATTGACGAGAAAAGTACCCCTATGTTTTATTTATGTAAGACATTTAGAATCTTGATTTTAATTTCTTATGTACAGAGGATAAATTACTGATTATAAGTGTGTTTTTAATAGAAATCAAAATAAATATATTTATCAATATCCATAAAAGTATAACAGGTTTCACAATAAACGTCAATTCATGAAATGGTAATTTTATAAGTGTTACAAAAAGGGGATGGGGGATCAGACTTATATTTTCTTCATGCAGGATTTTGAACAAAATATTTCGTCCTTCAACAAGCCTGTATGCTGTCAGTAGAAACTACTACATTTTTACTGTCTGTAGTGGTAACTATAAATTCAATTAGGATTTTATCTGGCATTCGTGTAAATCAGAATTGCAGAAATTCTCTGTTTAGAAATACTAAACGATATCAATTATGCACATGCTATATCTTCCCATTTGTGCATCACACGTTGTTTTATACATTTTTTCATACTTACGACATAATTTTATCATAATTACTAGAGAGTAGGTGTAATTTTTTTCTTGATACTATAAATCTTCTCTCTCGATCCCAATAAAAAAAGGACATGTTTTTAAATTATCGTATTTTCCTTTAGGTTTCTTTGTATTTAGTAATTATAAAGACTCACCTAATGCCTCGAAACCTAAACCTTTGTCTGAGTGGTGTCCCGGTACGTACATATTTTAAGTATCTGGTAATGTCAATATATGCAGGTTATTCATAATACAGCTGCAGTCAACAATGTGACAAAAAGTGAGGAACCAAATAATTTTAATTCATATCTGTTTTCCTTTAAATCCGAATTTAAACTCTCTGTGGCTGGTATAGAATATTATAGGGAATTTCGTTTTAATACTTCATGGTCAAGTAATATGTATAAGCAAAAAATAAGACACAGAAATAAAAATCCTTGCTCTATTTAAATTTCATGACCACAAAAAATAGAATAAGAATTGTTGGACATGAATCGATAAAGAAAATTCCATACGACAGCAATTGCATGCACCAGCTCAGGAAAAGCCAAGTGGAACTGCTTTTAAGAACTTCCTTTAACGATTTTTAAAATAACAACAAAAGAAATTATTTCAATGAATACACAATTAATTTGTAGCGATATTTAATTTAAGCGACCTCAACACCCCGATAATAATACCTCGCTAAAAATTCTGCTTATATGGTATATGATTTTCGGAAGCAAATTAATCAATATATTAATTTATGTACCATCAGCTTTAATTAATCATTTGAAGCTCCTAACTTATTATATAAGATATAATTTTGCTTTTAATAGCTCATTATGGACAACCAGGATATGGACAGCCGCCACCAAATTAAGGACAACCGCAGCCAGGATTCAGCCAATATAATCAGTATCCACCGCCACCTGTTGGTAACCCCGCCTACCCTCCACCACCACCTCCTAAATATTAACTAATGAAAATGTCTTCTCACTTTTTTCTCAGAAGTGCCATTTACTTACTGTGATATTTTCATTCTAATTATGGTATGAATTCTTATTGTGATATTTTCATTCTAAATATGCTAATCGGAATATTTTTTTATTTGTTAAGCATATATTAATGCATTGTATTTGTATACAAAAATACATATGCTATTTTTTTTCACAAGAATAAATACAAATATTCCAGAAAAAAACATCTTGAATTACGAAAAAACATCTTGAAGAAAACCCCACTTTATTGGCTTGTACATGTATATAAAAGACAAAATTATGGTATAATGTAATGTCCTGTCAATGACGTCGCGCGATGTGACATGTACAATATACCAGACTTTATTCACTATTTTTATAAAAACTCGCATTTCTAAATTTTGTATCTGTATTTTGAGGTAATGGAATATTTTAATCATATGGAGACTGAAATAATTTAGCCTTTCTTGTCATTTGTTGAATGATTACTTAGTCTAGGATTTAACAAATTACAGTAAAATCTACATTTTATGTGCTTGGATTAAAAAAAAATACGATGTAGGTTAAGTTCGTTAAAAGTTAACCTTTTTTCTCTATGCAGTGAATGAGATGGTGCTTTTGTAGTTCTGATTTTGTTTTATTTTTCCCGCAGATGGAGAAGGAAAGAAGGATTTATTTTTATTCCGGTCTACCTTTTTTCTTAAATAAGCAGCTCATTTCAATTAAATTCCTTGTGACCCAACCCTACCTGGAACTAGATTTGAAGAAATTTGAAAAATCATACTAATCTGGGTATGCTTGCATGCTGCGAAATATTGTATAATAATATATTGTCAAAGTGCTACTGTTTGCAAGAAAAATTATAATTAAAAATTTTCACGTCTTCCTATGCGTTCTCTGAGTATGATGGATAGTTGTTGTATCAACTTTTATCAACAGGTCAATTTTAATTACCATTGATTGAGCTTTTGCTTAAGATTTTGCCTGTGATAATGTAAAACCACGGTTAAGATAATCTTGGGAATTTAAAAAAGTTTCAAACAAAAGGAGTAGATGTATAAAAAAAAAAAGATCACACGACTAAGAGGTAACCGTTATTTCTGAGGGGACCCTAGCATTAGTTTGAATAGGTGCTTCAGCTTGCGATACTGCTTTTTTCTATATTCGGCTTTGTCTTTAAATTTTGTTTGTGGACTTGTGTAAAAGAATATACTGATATCAACTTTATTTCGAATTTCCTTCAGGTTCAAATACATATAATCTTTCCTTCTTCAAAGTTAAATTACTACCCCCCCCCCTCCCCCCCAAAAGAAATCGATGCTTGCCTTGTGTATTTTAAAAAACAACATTATTATTAGGTCCCCTATATTATTTAAGTTACTTACCGCAATACAACTCTTTCTCAACATTCACGGTGTTATATTAATAGAAAAACATGTTTTGTACCCTAATTTAAAATAAATGAAATTTTATTTTTGCTTGCATTTAACTTCCATTTACTAGTGAATATTTTTATGTAGTTTTTAAGTTAAATCATTTACTTTTATCTCTAATGGAAGACTTTTATTTTTAACTCTCATGAGGTGGAAAATAGGAAATCGAACCCTCAAACGGGGGTAGGATTTGAAAGCAGGTTCCGTAAAAGTGCCGTTCACGGATAATACGTGTGGTCAGTACATGTATTTCGTAGCTCTGTATGTACTCATTTAATTGTTTAATATGTTTATGAATGATTGTATTGCAAAAAATAATGTTAATTTGAAAAATCTAGACTTTTTCTCTCCAAAGTTAGCGTATTCTGTGCCTTGACCTCCATGTTTGATACAACTAGAAGTTTATGCATAATTTAATAAAACGGATGAATAAACAAACAATGTTTTGTTTAGTTAAACTACATTTGGAAGTGTTCGACCATATATACTGTGTAATGAAATGGAAATTTCTTCTGTGCCCGGAATTTCCTCTGTCTTGTAAACAAAATTTTGTGCTTCAGAAAATAAAAACGTTTATTATTTTTTTTAATTGTTTAGGTGCAGACAAATATGTTTTACGTGATGAATGATAAATAAAAGTAAGAAGAGTTAATGAAATAATTGCATTGAAAAATCTCCACAATTAAATCGAGTTTTCTCTCTTACATTATATATATATTAGGGATGTTAATCAAAATGTTTCTTAATCGGTTAAACTTTTTCAACGCCTAGGTACTCGTAAAATTTACAGTCTCCTTAAACACAGTTAAGCTCATTACTCAGTTCTAAAAATGATTTTATTGTAGGCTTAGATTTATTTAGGATTTAAAAAATACACACACGAAAGACTATATATACACAAATTTTACAAATGATTTGATATTTTTTGTTTGGGATGGTGCTTGGGATACGCTGTCATTTGTATTACATTTTTTATACACTTTTACTCTGTCTACAAATTTTTCTTCAATTACATGTATTCCCAAAATATTTCTTTAATTTTTAATATTGGATTAAATATTGAATTTTGATTTAACATGAAAACAAATCATTGAAGCCATCCAAAAATTAAGGACCTCAAAAGGTAGAAAAGCAGGTTTTTAATTACTGTATAAAGAAGATTTATTATATCCACATTTCAGTTAATATTTGATTAAGTTTTTTGAATTTGTACTTTTGAATAAGAAAAAAACCCACATCCGAGTAACCGAGTAGCAGATTTAGTATTCGATACTCGGAACACAGTACCCGGTTAACCGGGTACTATTTCCCTAATATATATATATATATATATATATATATATATATATATATATATATATATATATATATATAGAGAGAGAGAGAGAGAGAGAGAGAGATATAAAACATGTTTTGTACCCTAATCTAGAATAAATGAAATGAAATTATATTTTTGCTTGCACTTAACTTCCATTTACTAGTGAATATCTTTATGTAGTATAAGTGTTGAGTATTTTAACTCTCTAAGGAACTTAAAACAGGCTGAGACCCAGGCCAGTACATGTATGAGGTGGAAATGGGGGGGGGGGGCTTATTCTCATTCTAAGCAATTTTTATACAACATTCCGTAGAAGGGTTCGATCATATATACTGCAAGAAAGGTGGGGATAGGCCAGAATAAAACGTCCCATTTAATTGTTTAATATGTTTATGAATGATAAATAAATAATGATAATTTGAAAAATCTCCACAAAAATGCAGTTCTCTATTTAGAACAGCAACTCCCCTCATTACCACTACTACCTATGGTGCTCTGAGCCTGCAAATTTTGGCATGGGTAAAAAAATTGGATTAAGTATTGTTTTGATTTACAGAAATGACTCCGGAGATCCTTCAAAAGAAGATTGATGCTATTCAAACTAATTTAACCATCGACAGAAAAAACACAACCAAGCACAAGCGTACTCTGATAAGTGCACCAGATGACAGGATTTCTGCCAGGAACCTTGGATTAGTCGGAGTAGTCGTCATTTGTCTCGTCGTCTTTGTCATCGTTTCTTTCGACTTTATCACCTTTTTTCAGATTTCCCGAAACAAACAGGTGTTTTAAATGCATTGCGTTTTTACACCAGTTGAATATAGAGAAGTGAAAAAGCGATTTATCCAACTTTTTTTTTTTTCATTGACCAAATGATAAGGTTATGCATTGCAATACTGTAGACTATGTATAGTGTATTTCCATAACATTGAAAGAGTCGCAAATATACTTTTTAACTTCTCTGTGAGCAAAAAGCACCTATTAATAAGTTTTTTGATGTCTATTTTCAAGAATCTGTCGGCATATTTGTATGTCTGTGGGAAAGAGGTCTCAATGTCCAGTCTCCAAGGGTTCAACTGCATGTTGATATCTTGAAGTGAAGATATTAAAGACTATTAATTCTGATTTTTTTTGTCGTATCAGGTCGGGGGGGGGGGTATGGAATTTCTATTTTCCTGCATTACCCATCGACGTTTCATTCTTATATGATTGAAATAGCTATTGGTTCAATTTCAGAGAGGAAGCAGAAAATGACCTAATCACGACGAAGGCCGCCCTATAACAAACAAAATCTGAATGACACAAGTGACCTTAAAATTACCAATTTGTTTGTACATCCATGCAGTGTAATACACACTTGTGGCCAATTTCCATAATCAAAAGCTAAAATATATACAAAATCGTAGAAAAGTTACAACTTTATATAACGTAACTAATGGAATAGAGAAACCAAATTTTCAAAGTGAGGTATTTATTTCATCTTCCCCGATGTGATAAGTTCAAACTTGTTTTGGTGTAAACAATTGTAAGCACAGTTGAATTTAGTTAAAATAAAGAAATTGTTATTTAACAGTGGCCTGGTTTTAAGCTCACAAAACGCTCATCGAGAGGCTCAGATAGGTTCCACTCAGGTTGGACTGTATTTTGCTTTGTGAAAAAGATCATGTGGGCAAGCAAGGGAAGCAAAATGCCAATTGTGCTACAACTGAAAAAGTACATTGTAAAATGAAACATTTAACATAAAAGCAAAATAATTATTGTCTTTAACATTTCATTGGCATTAACATATATTTAATTTACATGCTTGAATTTGCTCATATCCTTTAAAAATGAAATGATCTCTGGAATTGGTCTGCTATCATATTCAGGCAACATAAATAATGTTAAAAACCATAATAACTTCCAGCTAGAGGTACTGTGAGCAATGAGTTCACTAAATGATACCCCCTGCCTCCCACATGAATATATTATTATTAACATTTATAAAGCGCACAATTTTACAAATAAAATGCAATCAAAGGCGCTGTACATACATAAAAATTTTAAGAATTTAAATGATTTTAAGAAGAGTTAAATTACAAAATAAATTACCATAAGATTATTCCAATGTAGATAAAACAATATAAAATAGCAATAGTCAAACTACAATTAAAAAGTTAATTGAATGCACTTTTAAAATAATAAGCTTTTAAATGTCTCTTGAAAACATTAAAATCACTAATTGTCCTGATGTTGGAAGGCACTTCGTTCCATACGGTAGGCCCTGATATGGCAAAATACCTAGAGGCAAATGTTTTGCATTTAACAACTGGGACGGTGAGAGTTTTTGCTAATGCGTCGACGGAGCGAATGTTATACGGTGAAGATCTAATACTCAGCATTTCACGAAGATACCTTGGACTGTCGCTATTATTAAGACACTGATAGACGAAACACGCTATTTTGAATTTAATTCTATAAATAACGGGTAGACAATGTAGAGTTTTTAGAGCTGCTGTGTAACTGTCTGCTGATTTTAAATTCAACACAAGTTTGGCTGCTCGATTCTGCAATAACTGTAATCGTTTGGTAGTACACTTTGGCAAGTTGTATAATAAACTGTTTGCATAATCCAGGTGACTTATTACAAGAGACTGTACGAGCTGTTTACATGAATAGACCGTTAAGTATTGACAAATACATCTGATGTAGTAAAGATTCGATGCAATTTTCCTACATTTTTCACTAACAAATTTCCTGAAGTTTAAATGTTTATCCAAGTAACATCCTAGATATTTAATACAAGGGAGCGCACTAACATCTGCACCAACCACATTGATGGATTTGGTAGAGGACATTGATAACATTTGTTGACTTCCGAACAAGATAAATTCCGTTTTACTTGGGTTGAGCTTAAGTCTATTTAAATTCATCCAGTCGTTGATTTCCGAAAGAACGTTCTCCAGATTTTGTAGGACGTGATGTTCGTCATCTTTGGCCTTTGGGTTAAAGCTGTCATACACAGAGTGGTCATAATATAATGAATATAATGGCAGGCTGTCCATGTTCTGCTATCATGATGGGAAACCCAAAATATGTGTCGGATCAAAAAGTAAAATGGGAATATGTAATAAAGATTCTGTTGTGAAAGTCTCATCAAATTCAGTGATAAACTTTGGTTTGGATATTATGTCAAACAATCATTTTTCTTTGACCAAATAACATTTTTAAACATAAAATTGTATCATCTGGCCTTAAGATTATTATTTGTTTGAGTTTACCCCTTAAAAGTCGTCATAAAATGGTATAGTTCAATTTTTGAGGTGTTTTTTTGTAATAGTTTATCCTAAAATCTATTTGTTTACGTTGACTCCGATGATGTGTTTACAATGCACTAAAGAGATAATAGAAAACCTTGCAATCTTTTATGTCTATCGCAGGGATGGGGTAATTGAAAAAAGTAATTGCAATTGACTGTAATTAATTACATTTTTTTGAGTAATTGGATGTGATTTGTAATTGAACATTTTTTCAATTACTTGTAATTGTAATTTAATTAATTACACTGAAAAATACCATGTAATTTTAATTACTTTTTCAATTACATTCAATTACTTTACATAATACACAGGTGTATGCATGATATATTGCCAACACGACCTCCCCATTATACTGTCTTTTATTTTATTGCAAAACATATCCTCAGTCCTAAAATTATACAGAAGACAGTTTATTTTATAATTATAATGTAGTTTCTTTCTAATGATTATATAAAGTTTGATTTTTTTGTTTTATGTTTATCTAAATTTTGCACCACTGTTTTTTAATAGGTCTATTCAGTTATGAAATACACATAATTTATTATATTTCAATCGCTGTTGTTTGATCAACGTAGAATAAGAATGTGCGTATCAAGAAAAAAAAAGAAAAAGGAATGTGTGTGTCATTAATGAAATTCTCTCTTGTTGGTATTAAGAGATAATTGCCCTCCAGATCAGAGCTGTAAATTAATTGCAATCAAAACAAATCAACCCCTCTAAAGAGGCATTCATTCCATGATTATGATGACAAAGCCATGCGCGGAGATAATTATTTCAATTAAAAACACTCCATTAGATAGAGAAAAGAAAAAACTTTTAATTTGATAATTATTTTAACCATGTTAACATCTAAACAGAATTTTATGAATGAATTTTGTATCTGAAAAAGATATGTTTTGTACAGGTATTATATAAATATGAAGTAGAAAAATTCAACATAAGTAGCAATTTAGGATGTTAAGGTTACCTTTAAAAGAAATATTTAATATGAAGGGGTTGTAGTTGCGACTTATTTTACTCTATTAAAAAACCCCATGTTAATCAAATATCATAATCCATGCAATTTGTGTACATGTAGGTTTTGTATGGAGGCAATGGCATTCAAACTGATCTTGAAAAGTTCTTTACTGTTTTGTAAATAAAAGTTATGATTTAAACCACAAAGATAACAATGCCTACTAGCATATTATTTCTTGTATGTTTTTTTGCAGAGGCTGCACTTATATATATACAAGTGAATGATCCGTGTTCTGTATATTCAAATGTTTATTAAAAAAAATCAAAAAATTGAAAATGTAATTTGTAATTTAATTAATTACTTTTGTAAAGTAATTGTAATTTAATTAATTATATGTCTTAGAAAGCCTGTAATTTAATTGTAATTTAATTGAAGAAAATGTCAAAGTAATTGTAATTTAATTAATTACTTTTTAAAGTAATTGACCCCATTACTGGTCTATCTACCTGCCTTACATTTTTTTTCTGCTTTGAATATTTTTACTATGCAAACGTCTCTTTGTCTAGTTGACAATATAATTTTTACTGATTTCCGAACAACTCTCAAATAATCTCGTATTTTTTTTTGAAATCTGAAATTGAAGCCAGTATTTGACAATAAACATGTTCTATTGAATCCATTTAGAAAAAAAAACCACACACACACAGGTATGTATAATTCCTAACTGGACGACAAATTCTGCATACTTATATATATATATATATATATATATATATATATATATATATATATATATATATATATATATATATATATATATATATATATATATATATATATATATATATATATATAAAGCTAGAAATTGCAAGTTGAGGTAACGAATATTGTTTTTGGCATTCTCAGAAAACATTGTTTAAATACCAAAACCTCCTGTGATGTGTTAAATACACGTTTTTTTTTCTCATATTCTTAACACAAATCCAAGCAATTTTTTCCCTTGACATTGTTTGATATAGTTTTGAAAATCCAGTACAGTTACGATCATGTTATCTTTCGAAGTGAATCTTTTTTCAGCATTTTTGTTTTATTATTGATTTCATGCAATCGGTTTGTTTAAAATTTTGTAATTATTGTATAATTGTTCTCATTTTCGTGCACAGCAGTATGCCATGTTGTTGTAAATGAAAATATGAAATGTTTTGTAGAAGATTGTCTGTCTGCTACATTAAAAAATTGTATTGAAGCACATGACAGTGTGATTGTGTTGCAGTATTTAACACTTTTACTAAAAGAGGTAGTTTGAGTGTGTCAAGTATGTGTAATGTGTGTTTAGCGTTTACATTCCTCGCTAGTGGTGTTAGCTTTCCTTTGAATAAATGAGAAAAACACATAATGACTTTCAATATTTTAAAGTTTTTAATATTTCTGGTAAAAATTTCTTAATGCACATTTCCTAATGAAATGACACAAAGTCACTAATTGGACAAATGAGAAGCACATGGTATCGAGTATATGATGTATAAAATTCATAA